GTGATTTTTATTATAATTGTGCTAATACGTATTTTTTTGTAGGTGATTAATGTAATTTTCTTTTTTCATATAAAATGTAATTTGATATAAAGTGTTATGAAAGCTTTTAAATGAGATATTTTTAATATGTTAGGCATCCAAAGAGAAAAGAAAAATCCTTTATATAGAATTTTTTCTCATTTGGATATCTTATTGGATGGTGCAACATAAGGAGTTTGAAGGAAAAGAAGATGAAGATGAACAAAAATACTTCAATTTTAAGACATGTGTCATTTCATAGGGATAGAATCCGGTTTGTACACGGTGGAACCCGACCACCTCTACTTTTCAGTACTTCTTGGGTTATATAATAAGTGGCACTTACCATAGATTTTTGGATACTCTGATTATTATTATTGATGTGATGATGTGTTTACTTTGCTTGCACATTAGAACTATATGCTTTTTCCTAGGTTTCTTAAATTTCTTTGTTTGAGTGGGGCTCGGACGGAGTCAACGTTAGGCTCTTTAGGATGTTAAATTTTCTACAAAGTTAAAATTTATTTAAGCAAAATAAAAAGTGAACATAGGATTAAAATTAATCAATTTTTCTAAAAAAAATTATTAATGCATGACTCCTTTAAATGGTCACTTTTTAAAAAATTATAATAAGTAAGCCTTGCTTACTTCGCAGTGACTATTGGCCAATCCTAATTGGCCCTACGCTCACATGCATAGCCTTGAGTCAGCATATAGATTTTTTTTATTTTATAACATTGAGGGATAATTCACTTTGTATTGCATAGTACCATTCATGATCAAGTTTGATACTCATTTTCCTTTTTTAGGCCTCCCACCACCCTTGCATTTGCATAAGACCGGACAACATGAATTTGATACGCTAGGTGGAGTTTAGCTGGTACCCCTTTCCGAGCTAGGTGGTAAATCCAGGTCAGGGCTGCTTAGATCCTTAGTGGGGTTTAAGTTATAAGTCCCCTCATGGTGTCAACTTCTTATGAATTTTTAATCTATTATTTCTTCTAGGGTAGTGAATTCGTTCTTTGATCTTTTAAACTAAGAATTTTGATTACATTTTTATACATTTGAAAAGGTTTAATCATTACTAAGGATAAAGAGAGGAGTTTCTCCTTTTGGAATAAAACTTAGGAACTTTCTCTGCGCACCAAATTAAGAAGAGAATAATACACTATCCTTAATCGAGAGTTTTCATAGGTTAAGACTTAGGATGTGATTAACCACGGGTGCTTGTGCTCGTGGGAGATCGATCCCTCATCATCACAGATGGCAAGAACCTGAAGAGTTTGGTCCTTACAATGATGCCCTAGTGTATACTTCTCATTGCACCTGAAGCACAACTCCTTAGCCCTCTTCTCCTACATCTCTTTTTCTGTTAGCCGCTTGAAATTTCTCTCACTCCCTCCTCCTACTATCTTCACCTTGGTGGCCTCCTGACTCCCTCCTCTATCAAACCTTTAGGTGCTAGAT